TGGATATTGGTATTAATTCAACCACCTCGAAACTCGAATTGGATCTGAAAATGTGTCGTTCCCTAAGTTGTTTATGAGATAATTTCCCCTTCAAGTTGGATATTGCTCTCATTTTCTTCACTCATAAGTCGATTATAATAAGATTTATTAGAAATATACAGATATGATTAATGAGAAATGTAATTTTTTCATAGCCTTCATTCAATAACAATAACATTAACTTAACGAACAATGCGAATTCAAAACACCAAAAATGATTTCAATAACGTGTGTGACCTCCACGCGCTCTTATTACAGCAGTCATCCGTCTGCTTATGCTATCTATGACATTATCGATAATTTCTTTTGGAAGATTATCCCAAATCCCAACCAGAGCTGCTGCTACTTGCTCGGGATTTTGTACAGCGGGAATTCTGGACCTTTAACGTCTACCCAATATGTTCCATACTTATTCGATTGGATCGAGGTCTGGCGAACATGCAGGTCAATCCATGGCTCTTACTCCAACTGTATTCAAAGAGTTGGAGACTAAACGAGCTACGTGAGGGTGGGCATTATCGTGTATTAATAAGAAGTTATCTCCGATATAGGGGGCTGCATTCAAAGCGTTATTAACCATTACCAACTCTGTTCGTGCCATTATACATATTCCACCCCAAACCATGACTGAACCTCCGCCATAGGAGACACTAGCAGTAAAATCAAATTGTTCATTTTGTTCACCTCGGCGGCGATATAGTGTTTCCCTGCCATCTATTGAATTGATGCAGGAGCTGCTCTTATCTGTAAAAAGAACGTTGGCCCACTGGTCATTTTCCCAATTCACATGTTACCTAGCGAAGCCGAGTCTTGCCGCCCGATGACGGCGCTGGAGTTGTGGAGCTTTCTTCGTTCTATAGGTACTCAGACCAACTTCTTTAAGCCTTCTGCTGATAGTCCGATAACTTATTCGTCTACCACGTATTTCTTCCAGTTCGTTTCTCAATTGGGGTACAGTTATAGAGTCCGACCACGTTAACTTTGGGACAGCATGTGACGCAACGCATATGCATATTCAATGCATACGCGACCACGTGCTGTCCCAAAGTTATCGTGGTCGGACTCTACGTCTGTTTCGTAGCGTTTGCGAGACTAAAAATTGGTCATCTCTAGCCGTGGTTGACCGTTTTCTTCCTTGGCCTCGTCTCCTCACGTACTCTCCTGTTTATCTCCAACGTCTTACATTCCGATAAATCGTAGATGTAGATTTTTCCAGCAAGTCAGCAGTGTACGATCTACTCCACCTTTTTTTTGAAACTCTGTATTTTCTTTGACAATTGAGATATCAAAATGAATAAGAAACGAGAATATTCGGAATAGATTGGGCTACCATTTGATGTTGAGAAACCGTTTCAATCATCAATGGTTCACTCCACAGGATGTCTTAAAAGATACCAAAAAATCCGTACTTTCTATTCACCCCTGTATTTGATATAAAGACGAATCGTTTGAAGGTGGTTATTTCTCAGATGTATTCGAGAATAATAAAGCTACAATTCGTGAAAAAAAAAATTAAACCGAGCGATGGGTTCGAGAGAAAATTAATGTCAAATTTAGTGTTAATCTTTCTCGTTCCCCTAATTGTGCCAGTGTGTGTATAATCAGCAATATAAATCACCTGGATTAACAATATGAAGAATACCCAGTTCACAATATCTTTCGTTGAACCTGAAAAAACTCGAATTCTGTAGCAACAATGCTTCTCTGTCAACCGATTCGAAGTATCTAGCATCATTTTGCTCGAAATCTTTCCACAACAAATTTTGAGTACTACTGTGCTGTGCTTTAGCAATATTTCATCGTTGAAAATGTGAGGGGAAACTAATATGTCGTGAGCAATAAGGAGTATATTTACCTCATCAACTAATCGTTGTCCATTTGAACAAAAAATTATTGGGAGAATAACCACTGGAATTAAGATCAACGATATTCTCAGGTCACTTTCAGGATGTACTCTCTGTAAAATGAGAATCATTAGAAGATATTCTCAGTAGACTTCAACTCATTGAACTCACGAATATAATAAATGTTGCAACACATAGAAATAACTGAATAGCTGCTAAGGGTAATCCGAACACTCCAATGTCTGCAACAACAAGTAGCTCTTTGCTGAACCTATAAAAACATATTATATTGAGTATCTTGAGCGATATATATGCTCCATTCTGAAGTCAACTGTCGAAAGTGATTCTACGGATTTTTTGAATTTTGCGGTTCGAAGATAGTTCAGTATCCACAGTGAAGTTCCATCTGTGCTGAAATCCAAAACAATGTCAGCAGTAGTGCAGGATTGAGTTGTCATTCGTCAGTTTAATTCATATTATTATATCATCAATGATTCTCCCACGAATAAAAACTCTGGAATCAAACGACAAGTGAATTACATATCTCATTGATGGACTAGCAACTTTGAAGGATTTTTATCTCACAACATATTGATGAATACGACCAAGCAACATTGTGATCATTTGAACGAGATCTATGCATCGAGATCGAAAATAATCATTCTCTTCATATTCATAATCCAATCACGATAGGCAGTCACCTCCGATATCTTGTTATGGTGAGAATTGGCTTCTTTCGATAGATTGATGACTTGTCATTATCTTTTGGTGGTCAGGTATTTCAGAACAAATCTCAGGATGGATAGTTATTTCACTCTCAACTGTAACTTCCAGTTTTTTCCGTCTCTTTCGGTATTGAAAATAAGCAAAATCAGACGTGATACTTGAATTTGGAATATAGCCATGAATTTCACTAAAAGTTCATTTCCACCACCTTCAAAAGCCGACGGCACATCAGCAGAACATTCCAAGATGGAGGAAATATTTTTGCGGAAAATTCCACAGCAAACTCCACCTCAAATTTCCAGGAAAGAGTTCCACTAGATATTCCACCCTTTGGTTATCGAATGGCCGAAATCGTCTTTCGTGAACAAACTATCAGATTCATTCTGCTCGGTCCCAAAACAAATAGGTTGAAAAAATCAGTTCTATTGTTCTCAAAAAGTGTGCACCAGAATGGATACAGATTATCAGCAAATTATTCACCATCTCGTACAAGTCGAGTATTTCTCCATCTTGCTGAAAAATCGTCCAACCAATCACCAGAAGGGGAAACAGAAGCCTTTCCATTAAATATAGGCCAATTGCCCTATCATCGGTCATTTTCAAAGTGATGGAGAGACGGCCATCATCATTGAGCTCATCAAATGACCAGAAAGCTTGGGAATGATTAAGCTTGATTAGAAAACAATTTTGAATCATAAGCTATGGCGTTGAATATATCGAAGGCATTCGACCGTGTTTGGCACCAAAGACTCTTCTACAAACTACTATCATACTGTTTACCACCTGAGCTATGCCAACATTCATCGAGTTTCCTTGCAGGCAGATCGCTCAATGTGGTAGCGGAGAGAGTATCGTCTGATACCATTGCCATCGATTTCTGTGTTTCACAAGGATCAATTCTGGCATCAACATTTGTCCTTTTCATATCAATGATCCATTACGAGCAACCACTTGCCATATCCACAGCTTCGCAGACGATAGTATCCTCCGTACTGCATTCTTTTCTATGATCCCCATTTCTTCCCAGGAAAACTAAGAACTCACAACGAAATCAGCTCGACTCTGTCAATGAAGATCTAACTGAAATAACAGCTTGGGAAACCAACAACCTAGTTGAATTCAACGCCACCAAAACTCAAGCCTGAATTCTTCCTAAAATGACGGAACTCAGTATGCCTCATATGATTATAAATAGAAGTGAGTTATAATTTTCTTCAGTTAATCGACCGAAAAGATACATGTAGTGATGGAGATGATGGAAAGGCAAGAATTCGAGTGACAACGGAAAATGAAAATTCTCCACCGGTCCGTGTGACGTTCGAACTAACAACTTTTAGGTCACATGCTGAACACTCTGCCAACTGAGCTAACGGGACATCGGTCGATCAAACTGCAGGGAGGTTGGAATGATTTTCTTCATATATTTCAATCATTTTCCTCGCTGAATTGTTGATATCTTGTATCATTTCAATACTCAATTCCTGTAAATTGGTTTATTCATGAATACGTAGTATTTGTGAACATATCGGATTGGAGAATTTTCGTAATATTCAAGTAATTGATAGATCTTGATACATTTTTCTCTCATTGTGGCTGGCCAGTGCCTTGTTCCAAACGCGATTTTTGTCCTTGCCTTTGTTGGTTTTATTCCATGTAACGATTTCTTACCACTTCTTGTGATTCGAATGAATTCTTATCCAAATTGTCACGATGAACTGACAAAAGTGAGAGCTCTCGGATTGGTTACCATATGAAAAAGGTAATTGAATTGGAAGTGGGAAGTGTAGAAGTGAATCATTTTTTATTCACCAATTCTGAGCACGTGTAACTCAGTTCAAAGTACCTCAGTAGGAGTCCCCGGAGGATGGACCACCCCCACCCCTCCATCCAACCACTTGACTCGGCTATTCAATCACAGGCCGGCAAATTGAAAATAATAGAGCGACTCATCACCCGTGGGCTCATCATATTAGATAGCTAACGTATGATAGATGACGTTTGACAGAGGGCCGTTGGGAGGACTATGCCGTTTCTAGCACAGAGCGGCAAGCAATGCTCCCTAGGTGGCGCTGTAGATGTGGCGATAACTTTAACTTCTCGATGCTTCGTATTCATAATGTATTATTCGTATGATGACGTCATTTTCCCAATTCAATTTATTTTCAGAAATGAATGGAAAAAGCTGTCAGCTGTGCACAGGGAATCAAACTCCGGCCGACGGACTGTGAGCCCGATACGCTACTATAGAGTGATATAGAAAATAACATAAGGCCTCTAAGGCGATTGAGGAAGAAAGTTCGAATATATACTTTCGATGTAAACCATCATTATCGACATAAAAGGATCATAATGTTCCTCCCACTATATTGATCATCAGTACCAATCAGGATAATGAAGAGTAAGCATGTGCTGTTGCTCTCAATCATAGCGTCAGTTTCTGCTACCGGGAATGATACAATTGAATATGCAAGCTCTTTTTTAGGGCGTTTTGACAACATAAATACAACGGAAAATGCTGTCACCGACATAGAATCGGCATTAATCACATTTCAAGAGATGCAGAGTCTTCCTGTGAGTGGAACGGTGAATGAAGAAACTGAGCTCCTGGTGAATAGCCCGCGTTGTTCTGTAGGAGGGAGTAATTTCATGATACATTCAAAATGGAACGAAACAAAGTTACGCTGGTATTTTCCCCAAGCTCGACAGGCGCATCGTGATACAGTCAAGATGGCATTCGATAGGTGGGAGGAGATATCAAATTTGAAGTTTGAAATTGTGTGAAATCCTTACAAGAAAAAGTCTGATATTACCCTATCTGTTATCCTAAAAAATTACAATTTTCGAGCAGACTGTCAAGGCACTTCAGAGTGTTCATATAATTTCGACGGCCCTGGAAAAGTTTTAGCACATGCATAATTCCAAATGTAAACAACGAATGTGTCGCAATTCATCTTCATGCTGAAGAAAAATGGTATCTTGGAAATAGTACTCCTCCTGACGGTCAAACAAGCTTATTGATGGTCCTGATGCACGAAAGTAGCCATGCTCTTGAGCTGGGCCATGGTGGTGTCAATACAGCTATTAGGTATCCTTGGTATCGAGCAAGTCCAGCATCATTTGATATAAATGATGAGAGAGCGATAAAATATTTGTTTGGGTAGAAGACTGGAAACTATCAACCAAAAACAACCTCAATAAAGCAGACAACTAAATCCCAAAAACCAAAATCCCTAGACACCCCCACCACAGCTTCAGCTGTACCGTCAAATGATCTCCATAACGTAGACGTTCCTAGCACAACCTCAAAGCCTCTGATCACTCCAACAAGATTATGCGACATTCAAGTGCCAAACTCAATGTTTCTAGCCACAGCACCCCAGTTTCAAAAATATCGCATGTACGTGGGATACAATAAATTTTTGTAGGAGATCGATTTGAACGATATGCGAATTCCATCACAGTCAGAACTGCTTGATGATTACATCCCTGTAGCTCTAAAGTATTCTCGAGTTTTTTATATCTTTCAATATTCTAGGGGTGATCTAATGACATTTATGAACGATAGCATGTATTATCGTCTCCGAATTTTCAAATCCACCAAAACATTAGTTTTTCTTTGCCTTCTGAAGCGAAAACTGATACTGTCTTCCAGACAAGCAGTGGACAGGCTTATTTGTTATATAACAACGATTCTCACATTGCATTCGATGACAATGGAGACATGACCAACCGTGGACCACTTAATCACGGCTTCTCAGGAATTCCTGCAGGCATATTATCAGCTTCTTTTTATACCAACGAAAATATATTTTTTTTTTTCGATAGGACTACGTACTACAGATACAGTGAATGAACTAGACGGGTTGTGAAGGCCGGATCGTTCAGCTGGAGCATCTTTGGAATATCCTGCCCCAATGACGAATTACTTCATCAAATGAAAACATTGCTTCTGGAACTTTTGTCACTTTACGAATGAATGATTGAATATCATTTTGTTTCATTCTGATTGTTACATGTGTGCTGTATGTCTCAGTCACGTGTGTTCAGTATGACGTCCAAGCATGTGTGTCGAGAAAATTACCAATCTTCATACATAGATGATATTAGCATAAAAACGAAAACCCCAAATAAATTGTTGAGATAGTCTGTGTTAATTGAAATGTATATGGACATACTCAAGGAAATATACTCTATTATTCACGAAAAACGACTTCATTGCAATTAATGATATAAACTCACTTTCGATGACTATGTGGATTGTCCAGCAAACGACCCGTTGCTATGTCCATGATGTTTTCTTTATCGAGCAGACTAAAATAGGCTCGAGTCCCAAAGATGACAAACAGAAACTAATTCTCGATTCTTTTGACTCACTTCCTTGTGGTCACCACAGTTTGACGGATTGATATTCTCGGTTCGTTTCAGAATTCCCAAACCAACTTTGTATTGATGGTCTCTTTTCCCATGAAAATAAGCAATTATTAGACTTTTCTGTGTACTCTTTATCCTTGAACCCACACACTTGACTCGATGTGTACGAGAAGATAATGAAGAAGAAAAAAAGATAGAGAAAGAGAAAGGAAGAGGAAAGAAGAGAGAGGGAGAGAGATAGGGAAAACGTTGTAATTAGATGTGAGTTGAAGGTATGGACGTGTTAAACAGTTGTCTCATGGCTTCTGACAAGAACAGACATGCACTTGAAGAATTTGGTTCGCAGGTTGGACAGCTTCGTGCAGACATATATCCAATTGTATGATTTCTTCACCTCTGAAATTCACTTATCGGAAATCTTGGTCCAGAATCTGGAGTGTTGTAGTGTAGTGTAGTGTTGGGCAATTCCCACCTGCTGATGATGGGTAGATAGATTCGATTTCTGGGAGTCTCGTCAAAGGTGTAACCAGGATCGACTGCAACTGCAAACTGGTAGATCGTATGTGATGGTCTGTCGTTATAGAAAGCTGAAGCAGTAACGTTGCTATCAATGTGAATGGTTCTTATTTTGGTTATGCTGACTAGCCAATCGGAACTGTGGACTTGCTGAGCGTTCAACAATCTATTTGAAGATCCCAAGCTAGCTATGCTATCCTTTGGGCGATAATCGATGTCATACCTGATGCTTGAAATCCCACACTTTAGTGTGAGTGAATCCCAATAATGCTAGTCCGTAATGAGAGTCTGGATCGAGTTGAAGTGGTGTCAAAGAGTCTATGGAAGGCGTGGATGTACGACCCTTCAACGTCACAATCAGAGACATGACTGATGCACAATGACTGTGTTACTTGGTCTCATTAAAGAGGAATTCTAGGATGGACGTCCACAATTACTTCGATTGAAATTATGGTATTGCTCGTTATTGTACAAGATTTTCGTGTCGGTACCCAAATATTGCGCCAATTCTCTGGTCGTTTTCAGATTGTTATACCTATCGATATATAAGACTTTTTCATCATTTATTATGTGAGCCACCTAATGAGTGCTTGCATGATTGGAGATATCCAAATTCATACAGCACACTTGCGATACCATGAATGGAAAGGTGGAGTGCCCGCATAAAAACACCCCGAAAATACGGTATTTTCAGCTGTTTGGCATATTTTATTACATCTTCATCGTACAATGATTCGTTGGGTAGCTTGTCTAGTAGTTTTTTGATTATTTCTCCAAGTACAGTCCGAATTCTCTCGATGTTTTGCGTAGGAATAAGCCGGAACCTTGCTTTCCGATAGCGTACATTGCTTTATTATGTCTTTGATCTTCTTAGAGCTTATTCTTTGCATTTTTCGCATCAATGACTGTCTTTACGACTGCTTCGGCTCCCCCAGCTAGAGATCCTAGGGCTCCCAAGGCAGCAAAGATTGGTATCAATGGAAGTATACCCTCACTGTGTGGAAGAGGTATGACTCTTGGTACTCTGATTCTTTTTTACCGCCAGCGCTCTTGATTGACATTCTGGCTGCACGGAGTGCTTTCAATGCAGATTTATTCAGACCACTTCCTGATGTTGTACTACCACCACCACCATTTGTCGTCGATGAAGACTTTGATAGTACATTTTTCACGAATTTGATAATGTTGGAGAGGGATTGCTGTGAGTCAAGACCCATGCCAAGTTCTCGTTTGACCTCCATTCCGGTGGTGACAAGCCAAGCAGCAGCCTCCTCTCTGAATTCAGCGTTCTCTGACTTGACTCTTTTCCACGCTCAATTTCGCAATATCCAATTCGCTTTGTGTCTATCTTCTATTGACGAATTTTGCGAATAGGCGATATCGTGTTCTCGACACGCGTCGTCCACCAGATTGATGCCGGTGTCTCCTCTTTTGAGTCTCTCATCGAGTTTGGTGCCTGGACCACAACATCTGTAGCCTGAAATGTGTATTTCGATGAGGAGTTTATCGATCAGAGAATTGAGCACACCCTCTCCGTGATAGGACAACTTGAAGACTGACGTGTAGGCAGCTCGACTACTACTCTCATCAGATGATAGAGATCGTTCAACAAGAACGGACGTTGCCCATCGAGAATTTGGATGCAGATCAATGCGATGCTTTCCCTGCTGTTCCATCTAATTGGCGCGAAATTCAAGAACGTTTACGTGTAGTCAAAGTCGTTGTACCAACCGAAATATCAATTGCTGCAACAAGATTTGAATTCAGTGAGGGGCGTTGGAGATTTCCCCTTCAAAGAGATTGACGAGGTTATTAGTCAATCAGGAGCAGAAAATCACTTGAAATTAATGTTCGATGATGTGTCATGTGATAAGCAGCAGAATATTTGAGAATATTTTTCAATGTGTAGACACAAGGACATTGACATGGCATACCTATGCCAGACCTATTCCAAGATATCAAAGCGGCTGGTGCGAGACAACAGTAACCTGGTGGTGTTATTTCGACAAGATGAAATGAATTTGAAACATGTGTTTGATGAGCATGTGTCACCAGACATGTCATTCGATCAATTCGAAGCGTTGTGTTCAGAGTGTTGGAATTCTATCCAATATAACGCGATGGTGATTGCGAAAACTTTCGACATGAACGCTGGCAGGTACAGAAATGATTTTGATAAGTTTATAAGGCTGTGAGGGTCATTCATCAAGATGACGTAAACCGATATGCATGATGACGTTGCTGATGCGCTACGCAACAAAAAAATCAACGAAATATCGAAATCAATCAGACGGAAATATTTAGCTCCCAAATTAGGCAAGTCTGAGGATGATGAAGCGTTACAGAAAATATTCCAACCGCTGATATCACCTTTGGAATAAATTGCCACCACATCCATGTTATAAAAGAAAAACCCGATGAAACACTTTCAAACATCAAGCGAAGCGAAGCAAAGTCGTTGAAGTTGAAAAAGGAAAAGAAGGAGGAGGAGGGGGAGGGGGAGCAATCGGCAATGAATCGAACTCATTTCATACCTTTGATGGATGTGGCTGATAATGCTAGGCATACCGAAGATGATGATTAAGACGATTATGACCATGCTGATGATGAACTTGTTGCATATAGTGAAAATATCTCACCGGCTGCAATACATAATGACGTTGATCAGTATACTGTGATGGCTCAAAAATATCTGACTGAATACTGGACAAATGATGGAAATATCGAAACGGTTATGGTCCCAAATATGATCCAGTAACATCGGAATGGTCTCTCAACGGTAAAGAAAAGAATTTCCATCGAAGAACTGGAGATATACTTCTTGATGGCTTTCGGTTCCGTGGCACCCCAGGCCTCTATCAATTACTCTTCTATAATGATCGATCCTTTGCCAA